GGCCATAAGGCGAGGTGTCGTCGAGTGCGGGGACGAGGTTACAGAGTGAGAGCCTTAATTGTTCGGGGATTTGAACTCGTTACTCGGGCGAAGGCAGGGCTCCCGTTCCTGCGTCGTTCCAGGACCGTTCCCCGAGCGGCCCGCTCGTTCGGGCCGTCGTATCCCGCGGACCGCGGCCGTAATTTGGAATTCTCTCGCGGAATTTCTTCGTTACGAGGCCGAGGACGGGGTAGGGACCCTTTCCGGCAAGTGGCGGGTCCCGGGCACTCGTCACCGGAATACGAATACGCCCTCCCAGAGGGCCGTAAACGTCGGAAAGGTCTCTCTCCGGCGACCCCTTCGGTCCGGTCCCTCAGGGGGGGTTGAAAGACAGGGAAAGAGGGAGGAAGAGGAGGCGTCGAAAGTTTCGCGCCGTAAGCCCCGACGGCGCAATTTGGCTTTATAATGGTCGAGCACCTATCTCGGGCTTGGTCTCTTTCACGGGGACCGGAAGTCGGGGTGACCGGAAGCGCTCGCCGGGAGATAAGACCGCAAAGCTCGGGGCCGCGGACCCGGCGCGGATATTAAAAGTTGCCCCGCAACCGGCCACGGGTAGACGGATTTTACCTAAGTCCACGGAAACTTCCCACCCACCCACCCCCTGGGGGAGGAGGGCGGAGGTCCACTGATTTATCCGGTCCTGAGATCCCGGGAAAACTAAAGCGCACCCCCTCCCTCTCTTCATCCCGGTCTGCTGGCCAGTGGATCAAACCGAATCCAATAACTCCCCGGGGATTACGCGCGCCAGTCCCGCGGGGGCAAATCGCCCTTCCCCCCGCCGGAAAGAACCGGAAACCCCGGGGAAAGTCCTCCGTCGCGGACCTCCACCCCTTTCTCACGGTCTCGACGTAATGGCCGCGCGTCCACCTGCGGACTCGACGGGCTAGCAGCCGTTCCGGCCCCGTCGACGCCGGAAAAATGGCCTGGCACGTCCGGCGACGTTTATTTGCACGGCCTGTCAGTTTTTCTTCTACTTTCGGACCGCCTTAAGGTGACGTGAATGCGGCGGTCTTGTTTCGGAAACTTCAGAACGCGTTTCAAGTTGCTAGAAAGCTTACCGTGTAGAGGTGGAGGCTGGAAGGAAGGGATGGATACGTGTCCAATTTCATGTTTTTTAAGTTTGACTGGATATGGATATTTGGGTAATTTGTTGTAGAAATGAAATTTCATTTTTGTTGCGATCTGTTAGGGCCTCCGTATTCACGTAATGAGATTTCAGACGACTCGGTGTACATAGTTACGAGGAATGTTTTGTACACTACTAAACTCTCGAAAGCCACTTTAATGTCACCTTAAGACTATCTTAATGTCAAGGGCCGAAAAATAAAGGGATCTTTAGGAATTAAAAGAAAGGGTTTATACGTCTTATTAACTTGAAGCATTAACTTGAAACATCTGGGCATGTTTAACTGCATTGTTAGACAACCCATTTTTCTATGTCCATTAAGAAATACCATATCGAGGAACACGCGTTTATGAATTTAGGCATATGTTTTTTTTTGGACATGTAGTGTAATTTATAATATTAACGGCTAATCAGCTAGTCTCGGGCCGTACATGGTACCATCCTCTTCTTTAAAAGCTCATTTCGACCGACCGAAAAAAAGAAAAAATCAATTTTGCGACTCTCGACCCTAGGGAGGCCCTTAACGACACCCCGGCTCCCCTCGCGCGAATTTAAGGAGGAATTCTTCCAGTGCCCTCGACGAGGTTTTCGGCCCGGTGTCCCGAGAAATTGAAAACTGCCAATTTTCCCTTCCTTAGGCCGGTAATCCCCCTGGAAGATTGGATCGAGGGGGTTGTTTGCAAAATCTCGCGCGGGGCGCCGGTTCTCGCGGTATTCACCGGCGAGGATGATCGATGGCCTCTCCGGCCAGTCCGTGGGGGGTCGAGGGTTCGATTCTCCTTCTCGGCTCGTTTTTTTCCCCACTTTTTTTTTCCTTTCCCCACCATTATTATGAATTTCTTGATGCGTTGGCAGACTCTCGTTGTCCGGGAGCGAGGGAAACCTCCTGGGGAAAGTCCCCGAGGAGCCCCTTTACAGGCCGATGCCCCGCTCGTGGAAGCGTTTAGGACGTCTAAATATCGGAGAGCAAAGTAGTACAATATTGGACTAGCAAACACGGGGGGACGTCGAGTGTACTTTGGCAAACACGACACAAAGCGCGGTTAGACTTCTGCCGGGATGTTATAATACTTGCGGTGGTTTGTAGTTCGCGACCGGCTTCTAATGCTTGCGTTGTCGACTGTTGTTACTGTCATCTTGTTGTTTGAGCGCATGTTCAACTCCAGGAGCTCCTACAGGGCGGCGATCAATTTTTCACAAATTCTGAACGTGACTTATTTTATACAATTTGTCTTCAACAGAGTCGTTGTTACGGAACGAAGGCCTTCTTTCGAAAGACTCGTAGCTTTCAGATTTAATTATTCGAACGAAACTAGGCGTCGATTCGCCATTACTCTCCGGTAAAAGTTGGACAAACCGATCGATCATTTTCGTCAGTGCGGGGTATTGCAGGGCCGTGTACTCCTGGAAGTACGTGTCGGTATTCTCGAGGGCGCAGCGCGGCGCTACCGGCAGTAAGGAGGATATACAGCCTCCAGCCTCGCGGTTATGCCGTCGCCCTAGTGGTAAAAATAATAGCGGTGCACATGAATGTTTAATGGCTACTCCGTTCCATACATTCCAGTTGTTTTACCGGCCCGACTTTATGGACCTTCCGGCACACTTTTCGAACGTAACGGGGCGCCCGGAGGAACTTTAAGGTGACAACTTCACAATGCCAGCCATCTACTGGAGCGGAGCCAGAAAAGCGTAGCAGTCGCGGCGACAAACTCCGTACTTTGAGGATTCTTCCGAAATTTTGCCCGAATTTCTCCGGGAGTTTTCACGATTTTTTCGAAATCCCCACACAGGGTAGACAACCCAGCCCGACTAGTAGTCCGAGGAAGGCAATTTCCGGAATCCCGAAATTTTTCAGGGTCCTTTTTATATTTTTTCCTCCTTCATCCCACCCTTTTATTCTCCGCGGCCGGTCGTAACTTCCGGGGCAAAAAGAGATATTTTAGTTAGGGTAAGCCTTCGGGCTCTGTTGGCGGTTCTTGCGAGGGCGAGGTTAAGGAGGATGTATACCGGGTGCCCACTTCCGGCGATAACTCACGAGTTCTCGCCGGCGGGATTTTGACAGATCGCGGGAACACGTGCTCGAGCACGTGCACGAGGCTCGCCGAGAAATGGCCCCCTGGATGCCGCATCCAGCATCCAGCTCCAGCCCCTCCAGGTGAGCATCGACTGGCTCCCGACGTTTCCGGCAAACTTTTCGTCCCCGCGATTTTGCTCTCGAGGCTCGTCTCGAGTTTCCGCCATCCCCTCTGCTTCTGGGAGGAGAGGAGTTTCTTGGACCAGCGGACGCAGCAGTTTTCCGCTCCCCGAATCGGAACCGCGCGAGGGCCCGACGCAAATCGAGTGGAAACGAACCCTGCGGTTCGCGGGGGGTCCACTACTCGAATTCTCAATGAAGCCGAGGAAGAGCCGGAAAAGCAGGAAGATGCGGACCCGTCGAAGAAGTCGGCGCTCCGCTGGGAGTAATATCGGTGTACTGGGGAAGTAAGTGGAGGTTACTTTTTTTGGCCGGACCAACCGAGTGGGACGAGGCAATAAGACATCGTTGGATTTTAAAATATTTCGCTTTTCGAGATTTCAAATGGATTTTAGAATTCGTATCGGTTACCTATGTTAATGGTGAGTGTAGGAGAAATCGATTCGGTAAAGTAATAAATGGCACACCTGGTATTACATCGTCGTACTGGGAGAATAAGTGGGGAATACTTTTTGGTCAGACTTTCTGAGTGAGTTCTGTGGTTAAACCTTAAAACGCTTCGATTTTCGAGGTTGGAAATAAACCCTGAAGTCCATCCTAACTACGTAGACCGTCACGTGAGTGTAGGAGAAATAGATCCGGCGAGGATGTCGATCTTCCTCTGGGAACCACATTGGCGTTCGGGGACAATAAGTGGTAGTTCCTTTTTTGGTCAGACCATCTAAGTGGTTTTGGCGGTTAAACCCCAAAATGTTCGTTTTCGGTGATCGGAAATAAACTCCGGAGTTCATGTCGGTTAACTACGTAAATAGAGTCGTGCCCGTATAGGATAAATCGACCTGAGAAAAAAGTCCCTGAGATTCTAGGAGCAAAATAGGAATCCATTCGGTAATTTTGCAAGTTAGTTTTTCTAAAGAGATCCCTGGTTACATCTAAGATTGGATTTAATTGAAAAAATGTTTGTCGTTCGTGCGATTATTCCTGCAGTAAGAGCGAAACTTTATCAGCAATGCTGTCCTTTGCTTGAAGTGAAAATATTTTCTATTCCCAGCGCCGATCATTCTGGGTTATAAATATAGGAAAACTCTATAATCTGAAAGAGAATTTTAATTTATGCTCAGATCAGGACCCAAGGGCGCGGAACCTTTCTCGCGGCCATAAATCGGCCACTTAATAGCGTTTGACGTGATCGAGTTTGCCTTTCGAAGTTAATTATTGAGCCACTTGGTCTCCTCGCAAAGTTTCTCATCCCGGTAGCTGGGGATCCCCTTTAAGAGCGCGGAAAGGATCGACGGATCACCCCTAGACGCGATCGCTACCCCATCCCCAGAGCTGATTAGGCAGAAGGGGTTAAAACTGTCCAAACTGAAGCGTATCTTCCTCCCCGATTCTCATCCCAGCTGATTGCGGAATTATCGCGACAATGGAAGACAAAGTGCGGGATAAAATGGCGCGCCCCGAAGAGTGTCGGTTCCCAGAGCTCTTAGATCGGCATTAAATGCACGAATAAATAATTGAATCTCCGATGATTTCCACGGGCGGAAATGATCGATCGAGAGGATCCGACCCAGTAAGAGATGAAATCGGACGGAATGCGGAACGCCGGCGGATTTATGTAGATTAATGGAGCGTGGTACTCACTGACGAGGGTGAGGAAAGGGATGCTGTGCGACGTGTAGTGCGGCGAGCTGCACGCCTCTTCCGGTCTGGAGACTGCACTTCCGGTCTGCACTTCTATCACGTGGCCGTCCCTCCGGTAAAACGTCATGCACATGAAACCGCTGCGGCTGGAAAAGGAGGGGAAAGATCGACTTTTATCTCGCACTTCGGCCGGATAGTAAAGGGGACCGAAGATAGGCGCGCTCGATGACACCCTCCGATGATGTCCTCCGATTTGACGAGGGTATAATCCACGAGCGACGCTGGAGGAGGCATTTTAATCGGAAATAAAAAATGGATCGAACCGGGGGGGACATTTAATCCTCGGGTGGCCATGGAAGGATTAGATACCTACATTCGCAGCGCCAGTAAAAAATCTTGCTGCAGAGACGTACCCAAGTCCAGGTTATAATTCTAACTGCATGGCTTTGTTGGAGTAATTCGTTATGCTTTAGGTTAAGTCCCGCGAGAAATTATAAATTCAGGAAGAGCGTTTGAAAAAGACTACCGCAAGGAATGGCAAGGACGTCGAGATTGCCCCATAAAGACCTCCGTCACAGGCGCCGCCATAAGGACCGGAAGATAGGGGGAAGTTAAAGCCTCAATTTTTCACAGAGAGGGGAAGATCTCCGCCCGAAAAGTGACACATTGAACCGGCACTCCAGGAGGAATGAAATTCTGGGCACATCCCACCTGTCAAATAAGTCTCCCCTGACGCCAAGGGGAATCCTAAACTTTGGCTGCTGATCAGCTCCTAAATCCTGCATCCGGAATCTCTCCGCTCGACGTCGCCCCCTGCAATCCTTCTCGGTCGCGAAGATTCGCGGAATTTATAGGCCGAGGGCCAAACGTCATGGAAAAATTGACGGAAATGGAAATCCGGCCTTACCATCCGACCGTGAAGTGGGCGACGAGCGTCGCCATCGTCTGCGCAGGGTTTGACTGTTTCACGCTGTTGCAGAGGATCTTGACGTCCTGCTCCTGCTGTTCCGGTAGGTCCGGGAACTCGGCCTGGCCCACGTCGATCCTCGAATTCGTCGCGTTGGGTCTGCTGATGTGTAAGGACGCGTTTCTGGGGTGGAAGGTGTACGACCTGGCCAGGTCCAACGTGTGCCAGGTGAGACCTCCGCTGGAGTGTCCTGTCAACCAGCTGGGGAAACGGCACTTCCCTGGCGAGGACACTGAAAATGACGAATATGAAATTGAGCACTATGCATCGTATCAACCTGGAAACAAAATGACACTCTACGTGCACTCCGTACCAGTTATAAAAGATAGTACGGTTTTATACCACTTTTTTGGACAGTTCATTCAGACAGGGTATTCATCTTTTTCAGCATTTCATGTATAGATGTATGAAATTGTATAAGTGTACATGAACCTTCCTATAAAATTTCGGAAAATCGTAACATACATATGAAACCCACAGGAAATCAAATGAAACGGCGTACAAAGTCAATTTTATAAGTTTCCTTGAAAGTCCTTCTCAGGTGGCATCCACCCCCGCTACTCCAACCACCCGTACCCCCCAAATACCAAGAAACGGCGCATAACCCCATAGGACACCCGAGTCGTTCGGGGCCCATGACGGAATCTCGTCATGAAGTGGTCTCGATACCGGAAGTGGGTATTCTCCGTTGTCCAGGAGTCGATAAAATCCAGGCGAGGGATGCAGGGAAAATTTAAGGCTGATTCCGCCACCCCCTGCTTCTCAGCACCCTTCAACCCTTCCCTCCTCGTCGCTTCTTCCGGGTCCCCGTAAGGGCGTAAAACCCTGGCCACTTCGTGTCAACAAACGATGCAGCTTTGCGGGTTTATGGGGCATGAAAGCGCGGCATCGCGCCCCCGTCCTAGGGGAAAGAATGGAAATAATTCAGAGGGCCGCTCGATAAGTCCGCCATGGGCGTCGGCGCGCGATACAAATTCTTCCCTCGTAAAAATAGTACGGCTCTCGTAAGGGCGCTAATTCGCGTTTTAACGTCGCGATAAAACTGCATCTGTCTCATACTTCGTGGCCCCTTCTTCGGGGTGTCTCCCCCCTTCTAAACGCCATGGGAGATTCGGGATCTTCAACGTGTCGCGAGGATTATCGCCGGGCCCTTTATGGGGTTATATAGAAATTCATCGACCCCCACATCCTCTGTCGAAAAGAGAGGAGAAAAAAAACGAACGACCGGAAACTGCCCCGAAGTAATTTTTTCTTCACGTCCAGAAGAAACTTCCTCCCCCTGAATTAATATAATTATCATTTTTTTCAAGGACGATAAGCGAGGGGAATTTATACAGTCCATAAAGAGGCCGTTTACGAGGCTAGGAAAAAGTTCAGCGCCGCGGTACCTGCTCTGTTAAAAAATATGTCGCCGTTTTATCACGTTTTTGTGTGGAGTCTTATTCAGACAGGGTGTACTAATTTCATACCATATTTCTTAAAAGTGTATCATACCTATGTTATACATTTCAGGTGTACACTGAGAAAAAAAGATATTTTTTTTCCCTGAAATTCATTCTTTGAACGGAGTTAATGAAATTGTGGCATGAAATCAAAGAAGTATAGAAATATAGTTTTCGCTAAAAAATGCCGAATGTTTACCTCTGATGCATCGCAGCGATCGAATACTTCGCGCCTTAAAATAATAATAAAAAAAACCGATAAATAAATCCATGCTAATTCACTTTTAGGACGTTAAATATTTAATCCTACTACAACCTCATGTACTAAAAGTGCATGAATTATATGGATATTTTTAACAGCGTATTTTCACGTCGCTATACAGCATCTTCGAGCAGTCGACGCGAATCAGAGAGAGTTTTGCCTTTTTCGCGCTTTCGTCGACGGGGCTCTGATAAGCCGTCTCGATATGTCGGCAATACCATTATCATTTAATCCTTCTGTCTCATTTAGTTCGTTTCTGCCTCGCGGTTGTATCGGTTCTCATAATGCATATGGCTCGAGGAATCGATCGAAGCCTGGCAGCGTGCAGAGAACAGAGGAAGAGAGAGACGGAGATAAGCATAGACGCGGGAGAGCGAGAGAGACGGAGACAGCGCACCGAGACCCGCGATCGGATTCTTCATCCGATTGGGAATTATTTCATGCATCGGAGATGTTGTCACTTTTATTTCATATTTCCCCCCTTTATTCCCCGCTCCTTCCCGTTTCCCCTCTCCGGTTGCGCCGCTCGTAAATTACGTGCGAATCTGCCTGGCGGCGTTTCCGCCGGATGTAGCGAATATACTCCGCGGTGGATATACCGTGGGCGATTCGAATATAGCTATTCCTATTGGAAATTATTTCGCGTCCCGTAGACGGTCTCATTGTTATGTATAGCTTCTTTATTGTCACTCCGCCCCAATGGCAGCCTCATCTCCGCGCGTCCCTTTTCGAGTTACGGGGAAAAAGGTAACTCCAGAGGAGATCATTAGGCGGCCTCCAAGTGCCGCCATCTTGGATGTGATATGCGTCGTCAAGAACGGCGACGCTATTAAAAGAAATACCGTAACATTTGCGCCGCAAATTTCATTTCCTGGCACAAATTACAGTACGCAAATGTATTAAATCCCAGCGGAAACATCCCGCGATTATAACTCGGTGTTATGGAATTACAAATTTATTTAGATGTCTGCAATAATTGCCACCAACGAACGCCACTTCCCGAATAAGCGGGAGCATTTTACCTCCCGTGGAATGGCTTTTTGAAAAATAATCCCAAGTCCATAACTAATTCAGGCCGCTCCGAAATCCACAATTTGCGTTTCTGAAGTCAGTGGAATTTCTCTCAAAGTCAGAAGTCACTCCCAAGAGTTGGCATTAAAAGATTCACGAGAAATCCGGCTTTCCAGCGAGGCCGGATTTTTTAGCAACGTGACAGTGAACACGAAAATGACTAAATTCGTAAAGGTACTTCCGACCTGGATATAGTCGTCCGCCTCTATTCCCCTTTTCCAGTTTCTAGGCGGACCACGTTTTCGTTTTTGGAACGCTCTCCCTGATTCTTCCGTATTATTTTTTTTTTATTTTCTAGGTTGGCCGCGGGCCGCGGGAGGTATCCTCGTCTCTCTCGCTCTTAGGGCGGCCCGCATAGCTCTCGCTCGCTCACTCCACTTACTCTTCCTCTTCGGGAATTCGACTTCGCGGTCTCAGCTCCGCGTGGGGGAGCCACGTCAGGGTCTTTTTCTGGTTACTTCGGCGGGAGCGCGTTTCGAGTGGTTATGAAGTTCGAGTCGAGTAATTTTCCCGGTGTATTGACTTTGGAAGAGTCCGGGCTAATTGAACAAACTTTAAAGCGCCGCCGTGGCGGAAACCAGTCAAAGGAGTCTACGAGCTTAATATTAATCCATTTTCTGCGCTGCTCGTGCGCACTCGTTAAATTTAACAGCTGCACGACGATTTTCCACCCCCTCCTTCCCCTCTCGATTATCAACTCGATTTTGAATACATGGACTTCCCTGCGATCGACTTCAACCCCTCGTTCCGCAACAACTAATCGGAGCTTTTCTACCCTGAGGGCTCATTGCTCGTTGCACCTGTGATTATCGAAGCGACTTGCACTTGACCCCATATAATGAACCCACTATCTATTAATCCCAAAATACATGCGTTATCGACAGCCTACCTATCTTTATCATCGGCAACAACTTGCCTTGGACATTTCTTACGCCGTTAAGAATATTGACAATATCTGTACATTATAAACACATAAGGTCTTAATAAGATTCTAACGTCTTAAAACTGAATGCACACCCTCGTTACGAATTCCTATGTTATAATGCATAATTTCATGACACGTTATCATTTTGTGAAATCGTGAGGGGTTATTAGTGCCTCATATCTGAAATACATGTTTCGAAGGTTAAAAAACTGTTGTAAAATTAAAATAATTTTTTTTTTAAGCAATGTAACTTATTATGATTTATTTATGTGGAGTATTTATGATATCTGGTAGATTGATTAGCACGTACCTTTCTTTAGGGTCATGGTTTTGGATCCCTCGTTAGGGCTGAAGAGGCCATTACAGGTGGCGTCGCCGCTCTGCGCCACCTTGTAGATTTCGGGGGCTCCTTCAGGAAGGGGTCCAATCGGAAGGGGCACATCGTGGTCCATCGAGTTGATGCCCAAACCAGGTCGGTTCAGGTTGCCGATGATCTGGCCGGCTCTCTCGTAGACGAAGCACCTGTACCTGTCCTCGTTGCTGGACGCGTGTCGGTGATGGAGTCGGCCGACCAAGTAACGACTGCTCCCTTCTTTCCAGGTTGCCAGGCACTCCAGCTCCTCGACTGGAAGACGAAACAAAGGTACTCTTAGAGCCGGCTTAGCCACTCTTCGGGAGTTCGAGAGATTCTCCAAGGAAGAGGCACCCCTAGGTCTTGAACTCCGCCTCGTTCCCGGGGCAATGAGTCTGGGAGCAAAGTTTCCCCGAAGGACTCCGACAATTATCCTCGACAGTATCCCCGTATCAGGGGAAACGCAACCGCCTCTTCGGGGTGCTCGCAGTAAGTGACATTTGTTGTTCGCCCGTGCATGTCACGGAGAAACTCTTTCTACAAAAGTTCTTCAGGGCGTTACGACTGATCAATTTTGTGGGGGACATTTTTTCATAAAGCTCATGGGGGAGGCAGAAATCGTCCCCATAAAAGGGGCCAATACCGTGGTCATCAACCGCGTTGCGAGAAAGCATTTTATTTTCTGAACTGTTATTAAAAGTAAATAATAATAAAAATGCTAGAGCTCATCCTTGTTAGTTGTCGGTAATTGTATAGATTTGGGATCCTATGAAGGCGATTGGCAATTAGATTTTCCCGTAAAGGATGTCGAAGGCCTCGAGATGAGGCGAACGTCTCGGTGTCTTTAGCAACCAGAGGGGGGAAAGTTACCAAGGAGCCCAACAATTATCCCGGACTATGGCGTAGGCCCCAAGGCTCGGGAAAGGACGCGTTATTTCAACCCCCTTCAAAGGGTTTTCATCCCTTTTTTTCTCCAGCAGACCCGTTAACCAGGAGGGACCGGAAATGTTCCCCGCTGCCCATCGGAGGAAATCCTGCTGGCTCGGTCCTATCTAAATCACATCAGGGAAAAAGTCCTAGGGGGCGAATGGGTTTCCCAGGGTTTTTAGCGTGCCACGTTCCCCCGGAAATTTGCGAAGAAAAAACGTGACCGTGGATCCAGCCAGGACGAGGCTCCTCCAGGGGGTAAAAAGAGACACCCGTCGGTTGGCCAGAGGAAAACGAGCCCGAGCCTTGAAGGTCGTAAACCACTTAGACGGGATCCCTGACGAGGTTAAACTCATTAATCTCGCGATTACAAGATCCCGCTACAAGCTCTCTTTTCCCCTTCGAAAAGCTCCCGAGGCTCCAAAGTCCCCAGGAAAAACGTTCAAGATCGCATCACCGTATACACCCAGATACCGGACCTGAAGAAACGACCTCCAAAGGTCTCCAGGACTATCCAATCCCGTGATACCCAGAAGAATCTTAAGCAGCCGGGATCCTCTATCCTTCCTAAATTTAATCACGCTCTGAATTTCACTTCATCTAACCGAAAACCCCCGAAATTCATCTTCTACCTTCAAACAGCCAAAACTTCCTCATAAGCAACCTGCCCTAGAGGACGAGGGTTCAATCCCCGCGGGGTCCAATTTTTTTTCTCTCTCATCCAATGCACTTTCTCTTTTTTTTTCAACGTAGTTCTCTGTTCACTATTATGTTAGTGACATAAATCGCGGATTAGGATTTTTTTCTCATGGATTCGACAATCTTTTCCTCCTCCAGGATTTCCTCGCGAAGTCGCGCTCTTCGCAGAATGCTTAGTTGAGTCGACGGGTGCCTCCAGCCCCATCACCCCCTTCACCCCCTTCCCATGGGGTTTATCGTGACGTTAAAGTATCGTTCCGGCGATTCGACGACATAACCTCAACCTCCGCGAGATAGCATGCCCGCGTTTATTCGCCGCCCGGGACGTCGACTAATGTCCAGGATCGATAAGGACGACGAGGCCGAGTCGTAACGAATGTACCTAATGCCTCCTCGAGTCGTTGCCTTGCTCAAGGTCGTCGATATTATCTACCGGGGCGAGATAAAGGAGAGACGAGTGGTCTCACCTTAACGCCGCGTTACGGGGTGCCCCCCGAGGGCGCTGCGATGTGACGACACTGCTTTACCGACTGATCCTGACAAATTGCAGTTCCCTACTAATAGCCTCCACCAGGCCCGATAATCGGCTCCGAGGACAGTCTAAACTTCCTCTAACATAGAAAATTCTTAACAAGGAGTTGTATTAAAAAATGGGCTAAGTAAAAAATAAAACTTCTCCTGTCACTCAAAACCAAAGAAATGGTCATAATTCCGAAGAAAGGATGTATCTCACTTTATCCGAGATTATTTCAGTCAAACAATTGTTCCTTGAATTAAAAAGAAAGATTTCTTTGCCTCAATGAGATTTCCTTTCGCGGTGTATGTTAAAGACGTATTTCTGAGCATAATTGTTATTTCTCGCTTGTATACGACTGGACAAAAATGAAAGTAAATAATAATTAGTTATGGATAAGAAAAAAGAAAAGTGAAATTAGTGTTTCACTTTTCGTCCTTCTCCCAGTTCTTAGCGCGGGAATTTATTTTGATGCGACGCAGGAAATACGTTTAAAGAATGTGACGATGGACGACGTCTTAGTGCATGGTAATGATTATTTAAAAATTATGCTGAGGTTTATGTCACCTGTGTGAGATCGTACTAAAATGGCCTTTCCACTCAGAGGCACTCGGCGACCACCTGCGAACCCGGGCGCCGCACGGTTGGAATTAATACATCAGCAGCGGTATTAATTAATATCTCGCGTGTGGGCCAGCCCACCTGGCGGGTTCTCACGTAATGGGCTTAATTGAAGTGGTCGGTCGAAGTGTCAAAGGACCGGGGGCGAAAACATTTCGGGTGAGAGACCGGGTCTTACCTGCGCTCTCCGAGGCGTGCACATCCGGACAGGCTTGGTACCGGAAGAGCAACCTGCTGTCGTCCGTACAGGTGTCTACGTTGCTCTGGGGGCTGGCACAGGTCCCGTGGCCGCGATTGTAGGAAAACGTCATGGGCCCGCGGAATGGACACGGCATCGCGATCCCTTCCTCCCGGAACATCGAGTAAAGTGGCGCATCTCCGGATATGTACGAGCACAATGGCGACAGGGACTTTATGTTGTAACAGAAGGCTGAAAAGGCGAGAGCAGGAAATTTAGTACGCCGATATTGCTAATCATGCATGCATACGATGAGAAAAATTCCCATGTAAATTTACATACTAGATCATTGGTTACTTTGATGCCAAAATTAATAACATTGAAATGACATTGTCTGGGTGATACCACATTTAGCATATAAATATACGCAAAGAATGAGTCGTAGGCGTACATTTGATATGTAAATATGACGTGTAATATACCATGTAAAATGTGCAATTGGTCTACATTGTATGTGTAAATTTGTGGTGTAATCTTCCATTAGGTGATAATATTGATAGGCCTCATATGTTAATTTGGACGTAAACTTATTAGAACATATTTAACATGACATCTCCGCTTATGCAAGAAATTTAATACGCCGATATTGCTAATCATGCATGCATACGATGAGAAAAATTCCCATGTAAATTTACATACTAGATCATTGGATACTTTGATGTCAAAACTTAATAACATTGATTAATAATTATTCACAATTCCTGATTAACCTCAATTTCAGACATTCTTTACCACCGTCGTACCATCAATTTCTGGCGATTTATTATATATTCATCATTGGAGTATGGAATTTCATGTCCAGTAATAATCGTGGTACGTCAGTCTTGGTATTTTAACAAGAAGTACAGCTTTCATTAAAATGGCCGGTCAAGAAATGAGTCGCCTACGATAGAAGCGGAAAAGCCACGTCGCCGGGAATTTAATATAAGAATTCTTTTTAAGGTTAAGGCATACTATTAATTTCTCGGGATGTATTCTTTACTTAGAATCAAAGTTTACAAAGTAGCCTCATTTCAATGGATTAGGTATTTCAAGAAGGAACAGAATCGTCACCAGAACAGCAGCCCCCCCCCCCCCCCCTCCGGGCGGAAAAGTCGCGTCGCCCGCGAATTCAATCTAATCCCCCGAGACAGAGGGCGGCAGCCCGAGGGTGGGTGGGAGAGAGAGAGAAAAAAAAAGGAAAAACGAAAAGGTCCAGAGCACGAAGGGCGGCCAAGTAGCGAGTCTGGGTGGAGGTACTTGGAAGGAGGACATCGCCCCCTGTCCTCTCGAACCGCCGGGCAATATCTCAGAGGCCGAAAAACCCGGGCGCAATTTCGAAACTATTAAATCCCGCGAAAAACCGCCGCGTTGTGTTTTTCCGCCCGGCTGGACGGCCGGCGGTGTCTGCGGTATGACACTATGCAGATTAAAACCCGATAAAAACCGGCGACTTTGACAAATCGCCGAAAAATGTCGACTCCCCTACCTCCCCCGTGGAGGGGCCGGAAGTAGGGTGGCTCCTCCGAGGCAACCCTTTGGGGGTTGCGACCACCGCCACCCTCGAGTCGGCCTCGACCCCCCCGGGGGGGAGGGGTTGATCGTTCGTGTACACTTTCCTTTCACGTGGACCGCCCCCGCGATGACTTCGCCCTTACTTTCGCCCTCGTAAACATTTTTTACCCTCCCCCAACCATGCCCCCCGCAGAGCCCTCGATCGCTCCCCTCTTTCCTTTAAACCCTCCGAGCCTTAGGAAGATTTACAATTAATATTCGCAGAGCTATTATAAAATTGAAATGGATTAACATTCGCACCGACAGAATCTTGCACGCCACTTGTTTAGGACTTTATGTTTTGGTTTCATTTGTTTTTTTTTTTTTCTTATGGCTATTTGGGTATCGGGGATCGCAATGTGGGCTTCATAAGTGCGGAAAAGAGTTTGAAGAGACCGAACGTTAATAACCAAAGAATTTAGTCATGTCGACTAATTATTTTCTTGTCCATGTAATAACCATATTCCACGACTGGCGCAAGGAACATTGTATTGAAATTTCTTTTCTGCGTGTAGGAATAATTAATCGGAAAGGATAAATATTTCATTTTTTTTTCCAACGCCTCACAACCTGTCGATTCGGAAATGAACGTCGGTATCAGGTGCATCTGCAGCCGCGTTCCATTAACGTCAAACTTCGTTGCAACAACGAATTCGTTATCCCCGGTACGATAAGCGCCCCGCGAAATTTACCCTAGCAGCGAGTCTCGTTGTTGTCGTTACTAAATATACAGCTAATATGAATATACGTATATATTTCGCCGTAGCAACGGCCTAATTAACTGTCCCAATATTAACGCTCGAAATTAGCCGACGCGTCGAGCGGAGGAACTTCTCTTCCGCGATCCGCCGTTAATCCTTTCCTCTTCCCTGAATTTTCCGAACCCTTCCTGGATACCTTAACGAATTAATTAAAAATCTTTCGTCGGCACCGAAATTCCCAAATTCCAGCTTCCATCTTCATTCGGATGGAATCATTCGTCGCTATTTTATTAGGGACGGACGTAATGTGTACGAGAGTGATGAGGACATTCAAGATGGCGGCGCTCAGGGGCGATCAAGATGGCGGCGCTCACCCGCACCTCGAAGTACGTGGAGGGACGCCAGACACCTTCCACAGTGGAGGATCGTTTTCGCGGATCGCGGAAGAAAGTTCCTCTCTGAGCTTTGTTATTTCGGCCCTTAATTCGGGCGGAGGGCGCCATGGTTCGTTTGCCGCAACGACGTAATTACTCGACGCAGGGGCCGGGCGAAAAAGTTATTTCCCGGCCGCACATTCGGTAAATCCGGGCTGGATTCTTTCCCGAGATCGTCGGCAAACCCAACCGCGCATAGGTGGGCGAACTCGAGGGTGAAAACCGGGCTTTTTAGAGCCGTCGATTCGCGAGGAACCAACCGGCGCTAGGCGTCTCTATATACACATTATATATATATCTGTATATATATAAAACCACGAGCCCGTTTCTCAAGAATGTCGTCGCGACGCCGAAGCCACGTCGGGTTCTCCTCGAATTATTCGCGAGAAGGGGTGGATCTCTTATTCGGCCCTCGACCCTCGGTGGCGGTGCCAACCCCCACCGGAAACCCACTCCCCCCGCCCCCGTCGCCCCGAAACTAACCTAGAATAAATAATTTCCCGTCCTGATAGAAGTTAAAATAAAATCACTGCTTTATAAGGGACGCTTATAACTCTCATTAATTATAAATCTCTCAAAAGAAGGGAAAATCCTTTTATTTACATAATAGAGATAGTTCCCGCCGCCAGGAATTAATTGCCTTCCGTACCCTTCGTAAATCGAGGATTCGTCACTTCCGCGATATATACATATATTCATAGTTTAAAATAAGAATTTTGGTAAAAATATTCCTCGAGCGAGAACTGACCGTAATTCGGGATGATCGAATTAGTGAGTAATGAGTATCAGAGATCGATGGAACAAAATGTATGGAATAAACGTTTGGAGGTGTCCCGGGATTTTGGCCGAGAGAGGTATTCCCCTCTCTCTCCCTGGCGCGGGAAGTCCGATAGCGCCGTCTTTCTCTTTCTCACGCTCGCGCGACTCCCGGCGCCCGAACGATGAGGCTTCAATTAACGAACGACGTTCTAATTAATGGATTCGGGGGTGGCGCGGAGGACGGAAAATCGTCCTCGAGGGCCGGGCCTGTGTACGTATCGCTCGGGGACTTACTTTCTTTGTACTGCAGCACGTTGGAGTGTTTCTCGTGAATGACGACGCAACGGTAGCAGGGCTGCTTCCTGAAACAGAAGGAGAGCGGAGTTAGAGGGTGCGGCGCGAATCGTCTTCCGCGAGTCGATTCTCCTCGGCTCGCGCGAATTCAAGCTCCGAGTCTCAAGGATAATGAATTTCCAAGCGAGGACGATCTCTCGGCGCGGGTCCTCTGAAGTCGGCTGCAAAGCGACCCTCTTCCTCTAACCTTGCCGAGGATTGTCGTGCGTGCTTTCCTCGAGATGAATGCCGATTATTGGAGAAAGAAATTGGGAACCCGGGAAGGCGTTAAGGGGAGCTAAATGCTTAACCAATTCCCTTAGAATGGAAGCTTTATTAGCTGTTAAGTAGAAATTCCTCATTTGACGTAAAACATCACTCCGTTAAACTGACTTCGCCTTAAGAAGGACGACGAGTATGGATTGTTGAATGTGCAATTGATTTTCTTTCAGGGAAAACTTCAACGGCTGTTAATTGAAAATTCTAGGTTAACATGAAATATTCCTGCTTTGAAATTGATGTCGCTATCGGGAGGACAAGTAAGGATTGCTGAACATGGAATTAAGTTCTTCGAGGGAGAACCTCGTCGACTGTTAACAAATTCCCCTCCAACATGGAATATTACCACCTTAAATTTACTTAGCCTTAGAGAGGACGTCAGGAAGGATTGCAAAATATATAATTAATTCCTCCGACTGGGAAGCTCATTGGGCGTTAAGAAAAACTCCCTCCCGTGATATAAACTCCTTAATGTTATTCCGTCAAATTTCCTTCGCTCCGGGGAAACTGATTAAGGGAAAACGAGGTTCTGGATTAAGCATGTATGGGGCGTCTCATTAAATATTTCCATCAGTCGGGATTTATCCATTCGGAGCCCTATTTACAAGCCCGTTAACCCCGGGCCAAGTCGTTTCCCATTTAAATTCTTTTACTCGATTTGTATCCTGGCGATTTTCAGCCCCTTCCCCAGGCAGGGTGCACGAAGGAAGCAGGGGAGGTTCCGGTGCCTCGATATCCTTCGGGCTCGGCGAACAAGCGGTATCATTGACTCAAAGGTATTTACAAGTCCATTAACCTTCCCCCGGGATTTGAACCTTCCTTATTTTCGAGAGATTTACTCCCCTTAAGGAAGCTCGGAGTAGGTCTGGCCAGACTTTCTCTCGATGGAACAACGAGGCGGCGGAGCGAGGCGCACCCTCGGAAAATGGCGAAAAACCGTCTTTCCTTCCCATTATCAGACCGCCGCCGATTACCCGGATTCGCCGTTCCGCCATCTTGGTACTCACGGCCGCGAAATAAAATTCCCCGAGTGCTCCTCGTCGCTACTCGAGTTTTCGGCCTTTCAGCCAACCCGAGTAAACCGAGGTTAGACTCCAAAAATCGCTTTTTGGAAAAATCCGAGGGCCTGCCTGCCGGGGATCCTTACGTTGTCGAGAAGAGATTATTTTTCCCTTTCCTAAAATTCCCCAATTTTTCAATTTTTCTTATCCCTTTCTCCCCTCGATTTCTTCCTGCACTTTGAATTCCCCCTCTGGGCATATTTTACCATCTAATCCCATTTATTCCCTCCTTTTAACCTTAAACATTTCCATGTTGAAGGTTTATTTTACATCTTTCTATGATTCCTCTTTTCTTTTTTTGTCTACTCTTCAGGATCTTCCTATTGTAGGAATATATTATCCACGACATTCCTTTAATCTACCTGGGTTTCATTGCTGGGAATTTTTCATTTAGTAATTCCATTTCCACTTTCCACGTTATTCTGAATTTTTAGTTAGATATTTCCTCCTCATACTTTATTACTTTCCCCAGTTGGAAATCCCCGTTGGAAATTTTCCCTTTCTCGCGTCATCCTTTTTCCTTCTTTTTCTCAGGATCTTGCTTCTGGGAATTTTTCTGTTCCCTTCCTCCTCTCATTTTTTCCTCTTCCCTCAGAATTTTCCCGCTGGGAGTTTTCCTTGTCTCTGGTTCCTCGTTTTTCCTCTCCTTCTGAGAATTCTCCTCTTGGGGAGTTTTCTTTCGCAGGGTAGGCGCGAAAGGCGCCTCTCGAGGCGGGAATCAATTATCGAGATTAATCGAACCCCGGGATGTAAGGATGCCAGGAGGAAGGCACGAGCGTCCTCGAGGGCGTCGCCGGGCGTCGCGACGTCTGCCCATTCAGGGCGTGAATGAGAAAACGCCAGGGTGAGGAATCCTAGGAGTCGGCCGATTGCCGACGTGCACGAGGAATCCCAATGGCTGATCCTGGTTTTTCATCAGCCGACAGTCGCAGACTTTTGCTCCAGGCCGGAGCGAAAATGAGCGCCTTCCTCAGGGCGAGGCCTAAAAGCGAGCTGGGGGTGCAATCGGGACGCGACAAGGAAAAGTCATTAGGATTTTCATCGGAGAGGGGGTCTCGCTTCCTCCTTTGGTGGAAACCCTCCAAAATGACGGCCCCTTGCCAATTGTTTCCCCCGATGTCGGAAATTCTAACCCTTTGTGTCCGCGGAATTTCTCGCCATTCTCCGGCAGTGAAAGAACGAATTTCCCTAGCTAGCCGGAACTAGGACGTGATTAAAAATAAAAATGCATACGTGCACATGGATGATAACAAAAGGCGTCTGGGAGTTATACCGTGACTTCTTCGTGATGGGAACTGAAGGATCATAAGGACGAAAAAGTGGCGGGGAATCAAGCGCCGATTTAAAAGGATGCCTACCCGTTCTATACTCTTCGGATTATTAAAATTGACTAAAGGGTCGTCATTTGAATACGTGATTAAAAATCAATAAGTAGGGGTTTAAGTGCAGCTACAAGTCCGAGAGTAATATCGCGATTTGTCGTGATAGAAAGTGCAGAATCGTGGGGGAAAAAAAATGGTAAGAAATTAAGCGTCGATTTACCAGGATGCCAGCTCGTTGTGTACTCTTCGGATTATTAAAAGCCACCGAAGGAACACCGAGGGCAACATCTCACCCCCTCCTCGACCCGGTAATGGGAAATCTTGGGAAAACAGTCGCACTTAAAGAAAACAGCCGATCCATCCATGCAACTTGGGCCGCTTCTCGCTTGAGAAAATACGAGGGAGGCGCCCGCTAAGACGCGTCATAAAGGCAATATTTGCGTTTAGTACTTCCCGACTTCGAGACTCTTTGTCTTTTAGGAAGAATGAGCCCACCCAGGGTTCCGCTTTTAACAAACCCCGACTCGTCCCAAAGTCACTCGGAGCCCTCGAGCGGCACTTTCATTGAATTTTCGAGCCCTCCAGCAGTGAACGAGTGCGCGAACACTTGCGTGCCTACTTATATACGTGAACACGTATACACGGATACACGCACACGAGGGTCGTATAAATCTGGAGATGGAGATTCGCATCCGCGATCGGAGACAGAGGGGGGCGCACCGGTGCGCGAATCTGCGCCGTTTGAATTCGATTTCTTGTTAACGAGGGGGTTGATGGAACGAACGGCTCTCGAGGGCCAGGGGTGGTCTTCGGGTTCTGGACTCGATTTGCTCCCATCTGGCCAGAGGTCTTCTGATGCGGTACTGACCCCGGTCAAGCTCTGGCGGATGAAAAATAGGGGTGGAATTCCACTTCTTACGGGTGCTTTTCCAAATCTTATAATTAGGGGTGCAGCTTTACTTTTAATTTACATCACAGTGGTCTTCCGATCTGGTGCTGACCCTGGTCAATCTATGACGGGCGAAAAATGGGGGTGGAATTCCACTTTTTACGGGTGCATTTCCAAATCTTATGATTAGGGGTGCAACCCCCTCGAGTCGCGACTCGACTTCTTCGTCTCTGACTCGGCTTTTAAATTTTTAGGAACACGGAAATACTTACTCGTCCTCGATCAAGAACTTGTCGCCCTCGTTGAGTCTGCAACGGCCTTTGCTCGAGAGGGTGTTCCCGGATATAAGGATCGGCTGTGGCACCCCGCTTTGGAACCACGTGCCCTCCCAGCGGACCGGAAACGTGCACTCTGAAACAGACGATGTGGAAATCAATTCTTTATCGAGGAAGGACTCGCCTGGATGAAGGAGTAATTCGGAGTGCGAGACAGACAGCTCGTCCGGGGGTGAAGACGTCGATCGGCGAGACAAAGGGGAGCCGAGCCAAGGGAGAGATTTTCGACGCCCTCTCCACCTCGGCCCTTCGTTGTGTGTACACGCATAATGGTCGAATTTCGCACCGTCGATTGAATTTCCGGGGAAATTTCGCGCCACCTTGGCGGGTTTAACTCGGGCCTTCCCCTGGTTGACTACTACATCGAGCCAACCAAAGGAGGGAAATTATTCTATCAGTATTGGGGATGATTGCACGAATTCGAGCTGATAAGTCGCTAGCTTAGTAAAATAACGCGTAAAAAAGACTGCGGAAACCAAGCCTTACCCTTATTATTTATTCAATTGCATGTAATTCGTAGATTGTACATTCCTGAATTTTGTTGTGTATTTTGCGTTATGAATGATTAACAAGTATTAATTCCATATTCATATATGCGTAATATACAGAGATTTGGGAGACGACATGATTTCATTATGAGATTTTCGAATTGTAAGATGAATTTCATAGATTCGTAGATTTTTTCTGGGGAGCTTTTGTTCATTTATTTCCATTAGGTTAATTTCTGGCAGAGGATCCCAATTTTGCGGTGTATCGAGGGTCGAGTACTTTCATCCGCATTTTTCCGCTGTTGATGGCCAACAGAGGGTACCCTTTGACGCTTAAATTGTTTATGCCGGAGCGCGGATTATCAAAGTTAGGCAGAATAAATTTGCGGATTAATAGTTCGAAACTGCCGACCTGATAATATCGTGCTTTGTTAAAGTCTATCCGGAGCCCATCGCCCAGGGGCTGCGCCCCTGTTGCAGGGGTCGAAGTGGGGGCCTAACTCGTATAATTCCGCAGAAGTACGATTCAACTCCCACGCAGCAAACCTACCCCTTAATCCCTCGAAATCCTGGCGGAGTTTTGGAAAAATCCGCGGTACCCCAAAGCCCGGGTACGCCGAAAATTGGACGAAAATTGAGGGCGAATAATCGCTTCCGAGGAGGTCCAACGTGTGTGCTGGACCGCTCAGATCGCTTCCAGAATCCCAAAAACGGGGGAAAAATTATATCCACGTCCCCTACCCTCGCACATACTCCGTTAATACCAAAAAAACCCCTGTCCACCCTGCAACCCACGGAATAAATAATAAAACATTACCTCGCTCTTCAAAATCCAGAATTTAACTATTAAAATATTAATGTAAAAATATTTACATTACATTATCAGTGATCCCGAGTCATTAACGTGTCGGGAAAACATCGAATAGAGCATCTTGTTTGTCAACCCTTATTTTAACACCCTGTGTTTTACCGAAATAATTTTATCGCTCTTATACTCTGGCGCTGAGAAGTTTCACTCTTTCCAATTGTACGTGGGTGCTACGTATTTTTAATTTCTTTCATTTTATTTTATTTTTTTCGGTAGGAATCGAATTTCACCGAAATTCGGGACCTTCGAGGAGCAGAGAACGATTCGATCGACTGGCGCGTCAGGGGTTTGGAGAAATTGGTGGACACAATGGTATAAGAAAGGCGGGCACTTAGGTGCCAGGGGCGGAATCAATACGGTGTCGTTCGTGCGCCTTTCTCGGGGCTCCTTTTCACCCCCTCCTGTCAACCCCCTCTCACGGGGGCATTTATTTATTTCGCTCTGCGGCCGATCGGCGATCGCCGACCCGGTCAGGCTGGACTTCGTGACCGGCGATCGAAAGGGCCGACTCGCCCTTAATCAGGGAACTCGCACCCTCCATCGAGGGGTGTTCCATTGCCCGAGCCCGAGAGGGTGGAAACCACGGCTTCGTTTACCCGATTTTCGGGATTAGAATCAAGAAATCGCTCGGCGACGCGTGCCGGGAATATTTCGGGCCTCTCGTTCTTTGTTCCCGTGAATTGCTCCGATTCTTCAAGATCGACCTTGTCTCTTTGCAGTAATTAGTACCCTCTGACATCCTAATGGTTTCCTAAACGTTCGTGATTTTTCTTTATTTTCGTGTTGTATATCGTTATGGCGAATTTTTTTAGCCTCTCGTTTGTTCCAATAAATTGCTCCGATTCTTCAAGATCGACCTTGTCTCTTTGCTGTAATTAGTACCCTCTGACATCCTAATGGTTTCCTAAACGTTCGCGATTTTTCTTTATTTTCGTGTTGTATATCGTTATGGCGAATTTTTTGGGCCTCTCGTTTGTTCCAATAAATTGCCCCGATTCTTCAAGATCGATCTTGTCTTCGTTGTCACTAGTACCCTGTGACACGTGGTTCGTGACTTTTATTCCTTTTTTTGTTCATATCATGCCGATCGTTTTATTCTTCTTTTTGCATATTATATTATGAGATTCTCCCATAAATGTATTTGGCAAAGAACCTTGCCTCTTGATTACAAGTCTTTGTCTTGCCTGGGCGATCAATCAAGTCAAACGGAGTCAAGATGAAATCACCCTCGCCTTCATCTTTGATGTACCCAGAAATGCGACCTCCCCTCAAGGGTGGTTCCGTCCCCAGGGGTGGAAACCGCGATTTCATTTATGCGATTTTCTGTATTAGAATCCAGAAACCGAAGGGCGGACACGTGCCGCGAATTTACCGGGCCTCTTGTCCTTTGTTCCCTCAAATTGCCCCAATTGAAGATCAATCGTTGCGCTAACGAATTCCCCTTTTCTCAAGGTTTCGGAAATATCCACGATTGACTGGCGTCCGGCAATTTCTAGTAATTTTTATTTCACAGAAAATTCCACATATTTCTATTTCTTTTACTTGATTTTCTCAGCTGTATGAACTTAGTCCCATTTTATATGAAGATGAGCACGTATAACTTGTTTAAAACTTGACATAGTGAACATGGAGGCTATAAAGGAGGTCTTGATACTCGTGAAGTTTCATTTTGGATAACAAATTTTAATAACATCTATGAACAAATTAAAAAAAAAAAAATTGAAATTTCATGAATTTTAGGATTTTCCTTGTACCCTTGATGATTACATTGTAGAGTTCGAAACGATTCGGAAAATCCAGTTCGGACAAATATTTCATAAACGAGACATCTTTGACGCCACTTTCATATCGCTTTAATCGTTGGACATTCTCGCGATAATTTGAAATTATCGCTTTTAACCATCGAGCGCTCAGTTCAACTGAATTTCTTTAAGGCAGACTCGAGAGATCGATCGAACCGAAGCGAGATGGAATCAACCCCAACGAGGTTGATCTTTGATATGCCCGCGAGTGCGGTCGCTCTTCAGGGTGGTTTCGCTCTCCCAAGGGTGGAAACTTCGGCTCCGCTCTCGCGCAATTTGTTGAATTAGAATCGGCGAATTACAGGGCGACGCGTGCCGAGAATTTATTAAGCCCTGCGAAAGGGCCCTCAAATTCGCGATTCTCGGGGGTAAATCCCCCCCGAGTCCCTCCAAGTCAACCCCCACCGATTTCGCAGCTTTTTCCGCGGAATTCATCCCCGCTAACGGGTGACGTTCCCATCTCGCGTTTCCCGGACTTGCGGGGGAACGTCTGCCTGGCAATGTGTTAAAATAACCGAGAAATCGATCGAATTAAATCGCATCAAAGCATCCCCACCCTCTAGGGCACTACGTGGGTCGCTTTGACGGGGGCCGGCCCGATTATTTTCCAAGGGCGGATTCCGCCCACCCTTGCGACTTTGCGGATTAAAATCCACGAGGGACATGGCCGACGCGTGTCGCCAATTGATTACCGATTGTTGGTCACATTCGGCCCGTGCCGATCCTTCGGGACCCCCCAGGTCGTCTCCCCAGTAAATCATAGATTTTTAATCATTCATGATTCGAGGTCCAATATTGAAACCCTGGGCATATTACATCGTATTCTCAATGTTTATTTATTTATACGGTACGTTTAAGGCGACGTGAAATTTACGTCAAAGAGGTCTCCTTCGGGATACTTTTCTCCTATCTGGGTGTACCGAATCGTTTCAAACATTATGACACTTATGAAACTTCGTTTTTTTATAACAAAATTTTTACCATATCGAAGTTTAGGACAAAATTGAAATTTTAGGGGTGCCAGGACATTTGTTACAGCCTCTATATTCACATTGTCGAGTTTGAAACGATTCGGTAGGCTCAGTTTGGAGAAAAGTTTCATAAAGAGACCTCTTTGACGCCACATCACCTTAGGGTGGTCGATTTCATGGCGCCCCAAAAGGGTGCGACGTCGCTCCGGAAATTGTTCCTTACGTCCTGACCTAGGTCACGCGACACTTTGCGCCGCGTGGCGCGCGAATTTGAGGAATGCAGCAATTAGAAGCATTGTTCCGTAAACTGGGCGAAGAGCATTACCTCGTCCGCCCGGGCGGGCCGCGAAAGGCGATTCGCGGGGGCGGACGATAATTCCCGCGGAAAGTGCCCCCCGGAAAATTCCCCCACGGCGACGCCGAAAATTTCTCGATTAAGCCCCCGCACGCGATTCCGCGCACGTAAACGCGCCCTTTTTGCTCCGCCCGGGTGGCGGAAATCCCTTTCGCCGGTTCCTTCCTTCGTGTTTCTGGATTTCCTCCTGTGTCCTTCCTTTCATTTTTTCCTTCCCCCTCCTCGGTCCGCCGTATGCCGCCATAAACGGCAATTTCGCAATTCCCCGGGGAGTGCATATACACGCCCCGTAAGATTATGGTCGCCCGGTGAAAATAGCTCGCAAAGTGGCCGAGTATCTCTAGCTAATAATGCTCGGTGCGTTAGACGGAAAGCGCAATTAAAGGGCTTTCCCTAAGCCCGCCCCTCTCGCACTTGCGGCAATTTCCTTTGACAGCGATTTACGAAATACCGCGGGGAAATTTGCGACAACTCTATTTCCTTCGCTCTTTCTGCATAACTTTGGCAATTAATATTCCCTTAGGTTTCCGAGGGTTTGGAAAAATTAATAGGTGAGTTTAGACGCGGTATTGAGGGGATGCGAAAGTCCCAT